TAATGATGTGCTACGTGACCGCTAGCGACACAGCTATGTTAGCATAATATAAACAAGTTAACTTTTTTCCCACTCGATAAAAGTTAACATGAGTGTTCTTGGTGGTCAGGAACAAATGTAATCGCATGGCAGGATGCTGTAAAAGGACCAAACTTCAGCCAGGAGAACAACTGAGATAATCCATCCACAATACGAGGTTAGTCATTCATATACTGCTGTATGGGCTGGGCTGTAGTTACATCCTACGGTTTTTAAAACTGAGCTTAAATAAATGATTAGCGGTAATAAAAGCCGAGGGAGGTCAACAATGATCACTGACTGTTTTAGGAGCTTTTTGAGATTAAATAGAAGAAAATACATAACATTAAACATGTTAACAACACAAAAGCCATATTAAACGCAGACTACTTTAGGCCCGGAAATAGGATTCATCACGTCATCACTTAACAACCGGATAATGATAGAGAAGTGTATTTCATTTGTACACAAAAGTACAATATCAGACAGAAATGGACTGTAACAGTAACAGTCCTGGACCAGATGGTATCTGTAGCAAACTTTTACAGAAAAGTTAGTGAGATTTTGTGCATATACCTGCATAAAACAGTGCTTATTATTCAGGTGAACACCCAGGTACCTATAAGAGTCCACTATCTCAATGTCCACTTCCTGGATGTTCACCGGTGTAGTGCTTCCAATTAGTACATGACCTGCTCTGCCTCCTGAGCTAGAGCCAACCCATATCTGAGAAGTGCACTAACTTTCAGTTATACTAACATTATTTTCTTTATATTCACATTTGATATGAGATTAATTACAATAAATGACTACCAATAAAAAAAAAAAAAACATATATCAATAAATGTGTCTAAATATTTACATTACTCAAAGATAATACATTTTACAAATTGCACAGTTTTACTTTGGCTCATTTGTCTTTGAGTGTAATGTATACTCAGTCATACTAAGTCAACAAACTCACATCTGTCTGTTTGATGACTTCCCGAGGTGCTCATCAGTAAGATTGATCCCAGCAGCCGCCATGGGAGATACAACAGGTTTGGCTGTCTGAGGATAAAACTGAAGTGCCAGAAAAAATACAGAGATATCTTCAGGTGGTGTTAGTGCTGTTGATCTGCTATAATGTGCAAACATAAGACTGTTTGCTTTTCAAACGTGGCATTACTCTTCAAAAAGCACTGATAAGAATCATCTTATGTGTGCTCCCTTTAATCAGACTGGCTCATCTGCCTCCATGTTCTATCACATCAACCCTTTACATGTACTACATCCATGAACCTTCTCCGTGGCTCTGTTTTCTTGCCTTGCAGGTCCTACCCCTTCTCTGCACATGTCCAAACCATCTCAACCTCGTCTCTCTCACTTTGTCTCCAAACTGCTCAGGCTGGGCTGTCCCTCTGATGGACTCCTTTTCTAATCCTGTCCATCCTGCTCACTCCTAATAAAGATCTGAACATCTTCAGCTCCCCAAACCATACAACACAGCAGGTCTCACTACCATCCTGTAAAGGTTCTCACTACAACCTGCGTGCACTCTCTTCTTTGTCTCTCTTGTGTACTGTTCATTGCACTGGATGGTCATTCACAGCTAGTTAAACTCATCTACCTTCGCTACCTCTACTCCTTGTACTTTTACCTTTTCACCTGTCTCCCTCTAATTCACACACAAGCATTCTGTCCTGCTTCGTTTATTCCTCATCTCTCCAGTTCATACATTCACCTCTCCAGGCTCTCCTCTACGTTCTCCCTACTCTCTCCAGAGATCTGAAGGTTGTGTGCAAACATCACAGTCCACAGAGACTTCTGCCTGCCACTTTATCCATTACCACTGCAAACAAGAAGGGGCGCAAAGCAGATCCATGATGAATTCCCACTTCCACATTGAACCCATCTCTCACTCCTCACACCCTCATGGAGCGCCGCAGTTTCTCTCTCAGCTTCCTATCATCTGCTTTCTCTGACCCACAAAGACACAGAGAAGCCCCTTCAGACCTTCTCTATACTTCTCCATCAGCATTCTGAAAGCAAACGTCCCGTCAGTGATGACATACTGCTGCTCGCTGATCATCACCCCTCTTATTAACTTAGCTTCAACAACTCTTTCCCTTGGCGCAGCTTTCTCTCTCTCTGCAGTTACTACAGCTCTTCACCTGCTTTCTTAAACATTTGTCCCAGTACGCTACTTCTCTCTTTCTCAGGCATCCCGTCATTCTCTAAGCTTATGTTAAACTAGACGTAATTGATTTGAATTGATTATTTCTTTATTGTAACAATGCTTCTTGTCAATAATGCATTTGTTGGTCAAACCCACGGAAAACCCACCAAATCTTTTCTGCATTTATTACTTCCAGGGTGGATTATTAGGTTCATAGGCTTACGTTGATGTGTATATTGTTAAATGACAATTCATTTCAGGTCATTTAATGGAGAAGTTCGAAACTAATATAATGAATAGTTAATAAATTCATGTCTTCTGTGCGTAATTAAATAACGTACAAAAAAAGAATGGGATGCCATCCCATATAGGTGTGTGACTGAGCAGGTAACCGGCATAAGGAGGTGGTGCAGGTGGTGCCAGGCTGTTGTGGCTGTGTATGGTCCTTCCACATGCTACTGAGGCCCCTTTTTGTTAAATGAATAAATTGCTAAATGCCGATATGTCTCCGACTTCAATCACCCAATCTAATAAATGTGGCGCAACCCACATGCCCAGTGCTGCTGTTCAACCTGCAAATGCATTTTTCCTCACACACCATTTAGTGTAACAGCAATTACACAGGCTTTCCAACAATATACAGTGGGGCAAAAAAGTATTTAGTCAGCCACCGATTGTGCAAGTTCCCCCACTTAAAATGAT